ATCCTCACATTCACTCCCCCATCCACACATTTAACTACAATTATTTGTCACATTCACTCACTCTTCACACGTTTTAATTAATTTTAGCTCCTTCTTCTCATTCACTCCCCCATCCACACATTTAGCTACAATTATTTGTCACATTCACTCACTCTCCTTCACTCACTCTCTGCACATTTTAATTCAAGTTTCATTCTCACATTCATTTAGCCGGAAACATTTCCACACTCACTCAAAAAAGATGCTCATTTGATCGGAAAAGGTAAGTAATTCAAAATTTGTATTTAATATTTGTGCTACTTAGCAATTAGTTGAATATCTTGAAAGAAAATATACTTTTAAACTATAATTTACTCAAAAAACCTCATTTCCGTGTCACGGAGATCGCTTCTCCACGACACGGAGAGAGCTTCTCTCCGTGATACGGCTGTCTCCGTGACACAAAAATGCAACCACCATTTTTTTTTTGTAATATGTTTTACGTCATATGTAACAAAAATATTATATTTTGTTTAAAATATTAATTTTAGATTTTAATTTTGTTTAGTATACAAGACGTGAAAAAAATTATATTTATTTGAAAATATTAATTCTTAAATAATTGTACAATTAACAGTACTTTGTTTTACTATAATAGATGTGTACAATCAAATGAAAATATTAATTCTTGAAAAAATAATTACAGTTGTTTAAAAATATTAATTCTTGTATAATTGATGCAGATGTCTTTAGAATACGTTCTCTCTCCAGAACAATGGTTTTCTGCTACCATCCTTCAGTATCCAAATCGTCAATACGTTCAAGATTTTGTAAATTTCATAGATGCAAATCAACAATGTTATTTGATGTGTAGTAATTTTATGGATTTATATATGGAGCTGTTTTCAAAGGAGACGAAGAACAATTTACTAGCAAGTTGGTACACGAATTTATAATGAGATTTGTGTATTGTGGCAAAAACAATGAACTTTGGGTACGGTTAGATGACTATCTTGCTAGGTTTGGCTTGCAAGAATTTTACCTCATTACTGGACTACCTTTCCATGAACAATCCGTAGAAATTGATTATAATAACCATCGTTTTAGAAATCAATACTTCAATGACACAAAAAAATTAGCAATAGAATGCTTTTTGAAACTTTCCACATGTGTGAAGATACAGAAGATAAATTTAAGTTGGGATTAGTTATGTTGGTTAAGTGTGTGTTGAAACCGACTTCACGACAAGTTGATTATAGAACTCTGGGTATGGTTGAACATCTGGATGAGTTCCTTACGTATCCGTGGGGCCGGATAGTATATTTCGTTTTGTTAAATTTATTGAAAGAGTCACAATTAGAAAGAATACTAAGGATGCAACAGAATGGACAAACAGAATGTAAGTATGCATTACAAGGCTATCCACTCGCATTTCAAGTATTATGGTCATATTCTGATTACTTACGTATTATGTATAATTTCTTTGTACAAAGAATAAAATTTATACATCACATTTCTCTTTCTTTATGTTACAGTATTGGATATATGAAGCGTTTCCACAAATTGGACAAAAGTTTGGTCGCCGTAAACACAGAATGGTGCAGATTCCACGAATCTATAATTCGAGGCCTAATACTATACTGAAGGAATCAGTTGTTAAGCAATTTTTGGATACTCAAGATGTATGAATTTTTTATTTTCAATGTAGAATGACATTCGCATTTTGTTATTAACAAGTTCAATTAAACAAATGGATTCTGATAGTTTGCTATGATTACAGATCGAAGTCATTGCAGTGCTGCAGCCTACAGAGGAAGAATTACAAGCACCCTGGTACACAAATCTTTCTCTACCAGCTGATGATGAACATAATATATTAGATGCCATTGTCACTGGAGAAGTAGATAATGTAGTACCACAAATACCGGATAACATCCGTGTACAAGAAAAGACCAGTCGTGGTACATCGAGAACTTCAACTAGAGTTGGGCCTAGTTCTGCTTCTGGTGCCTCCAGATATATAACTGAAAACTGAATGGAAGAAATGTTGGATATGTACAGGCAAGATACGATATCAGATGTGTCCGGTCTGTGTGGCAACTTGAAGGCAGAATTTGTTGAAGAATCCAGAGCCCTGAACCAGGATATCCTTGAAAGCCAAAAGCAACTGTTCGAACAACATAACAAATCGATGCAAGATTACATGCTATGTGGTATGCAGTCATACATAGATAATTCTCTATCAAATATGTTTAGCACTCATATGGCCCAGGAATCGCAACAACAAGAAGCCCATTATCAGGCGATTCTTCGAAAACAAGAAGAATTATTCCAGCAGCAACAGGAGCACATACAGTCTTATATTGATACAAGTTTATGTTCTGTCAGATCTTACATTCATGAAAAGAATGAGAATATGCTAAACAGATTATCTAACTGGGAATCTAATATGGAAGTCATTATAGGTTCCATGCAGCAGGATGTTCCTCTCCATGCAAGTCCAAAACCTACTGTTCAACCGCATGAGACATCAACGTCTCAACCTACAGAAAGTGTTGACATGCGGAGAAGAGAAAGGAAAAAGAAGATGAAATACACATAGGCTTCGTCATCCATAGGCCGTCCCTTAGAAGACTACGACATGAACAAGTACAAAGACATTAGGAATTGGATATCGAGAAATCAATCTGGGTAACAAATGTAACTCATTCTGAATAGTCCGAATGCTAAACATTATTATATCTATGTTAAAAATTATTTGTTGAATTATTTGACAGTAATTTAAATTACGTTATACAGTGCATATTTGAACGATGGCCGTGACAATGTCTATAGAAGAGACATGCTAAAAAGTTTAATGGATCTGACGAAGGATCTGAATATTGCGGTGAGTGAAGGTTTGCAATCACAATAAATTTGATTTCGTAGTTAATATGTATAATATATGTTACATATATTTATTGCATTAGCATATTGAGCTGGAGCTAAAGTTATTGAGGCAGCGTATGAATGAAGATTGTACTCTCGTCAATAAAAATATGTAATTTTAGATTTTCAATTTGAAGAGGAGTGTTGTCAGCAAATGAGGTAGCACATGGAATATAACCAGAGAGGTGAATCGGATGGAACTCGCCTACAAGGCTACGTCAACGGTACATTGCCTGTAGCTGGTCGTTCGTGGATGGGATGCAAGTATTTATTAATTCCAAGTGCATATCCAGGTAATGAATGTTATCTGTTTTTGGTCAATATTCCTGAATGAAAATTCTACATATACGACTGCAGCAATAATGTTCACACACCTGATACAATCAAGGCTCACGCAGAAGCAACATGCACAGTCGTTCAAACATTATTGCAGTGTCTACCCCTGTCCACCAGACGAGATATAAAGAAACATATAAATGATCCAATGAAGATGGAGATTATACCTTATCTACCGTGTGCGAACAATGGGTGAGCATTTCAACTCTTGTTATTTACTACCGTAGTTAATCTATTGTATATACTAATTTCGACTAACGAAAAATCATTTATTGTACAGGCCAAATTGCATAATGTTTGTACTCAAGTATATATAATGCTTCGTTCTCGGGCATCCAATAGAATCAGTTTCAGCAAAGAGGATGTCAATATACAGAAGAAAGATTGCGGTAGATTTTTTGAATAACGAATACTTTCTTTATCCCCGACAGTGAAACAGTTGTCGTGGCTTAGCTGTACTTTGCTTGTGTGACTGTTGATGATCACCCGGTTCATGATACCGTCGTTTGTAATATGTATTTTGCTTTATGTGGTGGTACATAACATGAATTTTGGTTTTATGCGGTGGTACGTAAAATGTATTTTAGTTTACACAGTGGTTTGCATATTTCGATTTATATGGTGGTATGTAATATGTTCTCGAGCTGTCATTCTAGAAAAATGAAATATCAAGCGTCGAGATTCACAGCTTTGTAATGTCAAGAACGACATATCAAACGTCCGGAAATCGAAGAAATGTAGAGAAATATCGTATTTTGGTCCAAGTGTCGTTCTAGACATTTGTAATGTCAAGTGTCGAGATTAACAGCTATTTAATGTCGATAACGACGTTACAAATGTCGGGAACAGTATCAAATGTCAACATAAATATGATCCAACCAAATTTAACTAAGAGTGAAGGCAACCAAATAGTGTATTAACTGCGAAAACTGTAGCAAGCAGCTTTATAATTACTATAGTAGTTAAAGTTGGTATGCCAAGCACAAGTACGTTATCAACCATATTGATGTGAAAAAAGTTGTAAAATAATCACCATCAATGACTTCAACCATATTGGTTGGTGAGATATCTTATCGTGCATTCAACGGACAAGTGTTTCTCCAGTATAAAATGTTGGACTTTACTTAAATATGTACATACGAGAATTTAAAAAATTCATAGCACTAGTTAGTTTTTCCATTGATTATGTCTTCATCAACTAAACATACTCCTGTTCTTGATGTTACTATCACTTTCGACCCCCCGGGTCGTCCGTGGACAACCCGATCATCATAGACTCGGACTCGGATGATGAAAGCAATATCTTTGTTTCATATGTTCGTCAACCTTCGAACCGCCATCGTAGGATTTGCCTTCAACCAATCTCTTTTTCGAATCTAATCGACGAAATTGAACCAATTCAAGTTCATCGTGAGATCGTCCCAGTACCGGTCCAACCGGAAGCACATCATGTGTTGTTGGATGAAAATGTTGGAGCAGTTCCCGTCGAAAATGAAGATGTAGTCATCATAAGCTCCGACGAGGAGTATGACAGTGATATGTCCTCTTTGTTCGTCGTGAAGGATATGTAGAAGATGCAGTCATCGCAAGTGAAATATTTACGTACATATAGTAGTGCTATAAAATCCATATGGGTGATGGATTTTTTTTGGGTGATCACCATTTTGTATAATAGTTGTCTACGATATGTGTCGGAGTTATGGCTTCCTTTTGTTGTGATTACCATTTTGTTTGCTCCAATGATTTAGGAGAACGAGTTATTCATAGGTTGCTTTTGCATCCATTACCACATTGTGTCTACAATGATTAAGAAAATTCCAGTGATGAAATAGATATGTGCTTGTTCACTTATATGATGAAAAAAATGATATCGTAGTGAAATGCTCATAAGAATATATGTAAGCACCATTTCCCTTGTTGGTAGTTATACCCCAAACCTGGCCTCTCTTGTTTGTATCCATTATGACATTCAAAAATGAAGTGTTGTTTGTATTTAGTGAATGCCCATACAAATTTTCATGTTTGTACGCTATAAAATTTTGAATGACTAGAATAATATAAGAGAAAAATCACAAAAAATGGGATGAATCCGTATAAAGGATTCAAAATGTATTACAAACTTAATTTTACAACAATTAGTTGCAAATAAGTGATATCAAGAGAGAACGAAGAAAGAAACAGAAAGAAGTAGAAGTCAAAAATATATTCAACAACATTTAAAACAAGAGGTAGAAAGCAAGTAATACAAAAGAAAAAAAATTCAAAACATTGATAATTCATGTTATCAGGGCATTTGACGATCGGAATACACAATGTCATTCAAGTATACGTGTCACTTAAAGATGTCGAATTCTGACATGTTTGCCTGTTATGTCCAGAACTCCCACATCGGCCGCATTTTCATCTCAACGTCGACCTTTCAGTTCTTGACCGTTGACGTTGGGTAGGAGGTCGACCTGGTGTTCTACGTATATTCGAGGGCAAAATTTCGACGGAACGAATAGACTGAGGAACAACCCAATCTGACTCTAGGCCAAAGGGGTGAAGAACTTCATTGTACGCAGCTCGCCAATATTCTGTGGTGTAGTAAGGAGAGCACAAATCATACAATAATTTTTTCTTTTGCTCAAGTAGCTCGGGATGCATGTAAACATGAGATTTGTCGCATATGAAACTCTCGACATGAACATGTGTTATCTATAAGGTCGATAATACAAAGTTCAGTAGCTATACCTACCTCAAAAACGAGTTCGTCCAAATTTTGTACTGGTAAAGTTGAATGGGCGTCGAATGATTTTCTCAATTCATCATCAATTTTTGGTGTCACAGTCGTACTACATTCGTGGATGCACTTTTTCTCTCGTAGAACCATCGTTGCATCAATGACGTAATATTTTCGATCAACGAGGTTATAGGGAAACTTTTTTGTCGCCTTAGGACTGAATTCAGTGACTCCACAATGTTATTCGTCATAACATTGTACCGATTACCAACAAAATGTGCCCGTGACCAGGTGGATATACCTACACGTTCCAAGTAAGATGCCATTGACGGTCGAATGGTTCTTATCTGTGTCATGAACTGATCAAATTCTGATACGCGGTATGCTAGCGTTGCCCACTTGAATAAGAAGATGACATTGCTACTGCTATATAGAGCAATAAGATTTTTCTCGATATGCCAGATGCAGGCACCGTGGTGAGAAAGTGGGAACAACCTCGTAATTGCCCGCTTAATACTCTTCTTCCTGTCCGACACAAAAACTAGCTGGTTTGAATCATCAACGACATCTTTCAACTTTGCAAAGAACCAATACCACGATACATTTGTTTCCCCATCGAAAACACTCCACGCAAGAGGATATATTTGTAGGTTAGCATCTTGCGCTACAGCTACTAGTAGTGTTCCCTTATATTGGCCCTTTAAATGACTTCCATCAACACAAATTACTGGCCTCATGTATTCTCGAAAACCACGTACACTAGGCCCGAATGCTAAGAAGAAGTACAAGAACCTATTGTTCGAGTCGAGTTCAATGTGTACAATAGTTCTTGGATTTTTCTCGGTTAACATGTGACAATATGATGGCAATTTCTGGAAACTTTCTTCGGGTGTACCACGAAGAAATCGAAGTCCCTTCTCTTTAGCCCTCCATGCTTTGTTGTAGGTAATCTGTACACCAAACTCACGTTTCATATCCCTAATAATACCCACAGGAACGTATGATTGGTTTGCATCGTCCAATCTTCGCATTATGTGATGCCCAATTACTGCACTCATTGCGTGAATTTGTGCATTTCGTCGAACGTCTAGAGAACATGTGTGCTCAGGTATGTACTCTCGAATCGTAAATATTTCTGAAATTTTTATCTTAGAAGCTCGTACTAGCCAATGGCATGTAGTATCAACACAACACACAGTAAGAGATCTAGGATTCGACTTTTTAACCTTGAAATGAAACTTCTCTTTCAAAGCCTTAAGTTGAAGCCTTGTGTGTAACTGTTGTTTGCTAAAGAATATCTGATTCTCCACAATGTCCTCTTCATCAATCGACTCAATTGCATTTTGAATAAACAAATTGCCTTGACCTAAACTTTCATCCATATTATCAATCGTTTGTAGCTCTTGTAGTTCGCACATACCGACTTCATCGCGTCCACACAATGCATCTTCTATTGGTGACAAATGCTCAACTCCGACATGCAGTTTGTGCTCTCCAGCATTATATTCATCTGCAATTACACACAACGCCGCTTCTGTGTGAACAGAAATAAACCATTGCAAATCCTCATCGTCCGCTACATCAGCAGGGGGTATATTCATATTCGGAACTATAAATTTCAATTGAATTCGGAACTTCATTCTATCAACATTCAGCTTCTCGAATAATTTATGTACAAGCTCTTCATATGTATATATGTCGAACAACAATTGATGTTGTTCGGTTTCCTAACCACTTCCACCCGTCGTCTATGTTAACGAATCTACCACCATACGAGACAACAAATCTCTTAACATCTCCCATATCTGCATGTAATAAACAACAATACTGTCAACCACTAACGAAAAACGAAAATGAAAATGCTACCTGCATGCAATATGTGAATCGCTATACACGAAATTCTCCCAACTTACTCAAATTTTTAATGTTATTGTCAACATTTGACAGTGTCGAGAATGATAGTATAAATATCATTCTCGACGTTTATAAATGTCGTGAACGATATTTATACTATCATTATCAACATTTATAAAATGTCGAGAATGAAATGATGGGATTTCATGCATTTATCATCTTCTTCAACTTCAACCACCATTTTGCAAGAATTTATTCCACCATAAATGATATTCTAAATACAGAAGTATATTATCTAACTAAGTTATTTAAGATGAATGTACAAAAAAATATACTCAGGATAATTTCGTCTATTGAAGGGAAAAAATACCTTATCAAAAAATTGGGATTTGAAATATAATTAAGGTTTTTTTTTTCATTTGTCAAATCTTCATTTGTTCTAGAATAATTGATTAAAATATAATTAAAAATGTAAGCAAGTGGACTCGCCTAGGTAATAGCAACATTATTGTGGCTTCTCGTAGAAGTTATTTGCTCTTCTTAAAAATTGTGCCAAAGTGATATAAAATTGATTAATCTTTTCATGAGGGTAAAGTAGACATTTTGATCTAAAAATTGGACATTTTTGCAAGGATTATCAAAAAAGTACACTTTTCAACTCCAACCCTTATAATTGGACATTCTTGAAAATGCCTCTCAATTAATTTGTTAAAATCACTTATGTCCCTCATATTTTTGAAATAAGCGAACACATAAATAATACAAATGTTATGAAAATTATTGAGGATACAAACTAACGGAATGTTCCAAGTAGCGGATAGAAATCCGACGTGGCACTGAACAACAGTAACGGGAGAAGAAAGCTCCAACTCTTACATCAACTCTCACTGCTCGAAGCAAGGTCGATTTTAAATTACTTTGGTCTATGAAACTTGGAAGATAGGGAAGTCACTATATCCACACACTCATTTCAAAATGACAAATAAAATTGCAATACTTATTTGGTTGTCAAATGTCCTATCAGCGGCGCCTTCTGGTGGGCGGCGTCATCTATGGTGAAATCCGGTCTTTGGCGCCTCTGGGTTCTTCAGTTTTCGACAAGAAGTCAACAGGATTAATCAGAAACTCGTGGATTTTTCATCGGCAGATTGCTAGTTCTTCATTCAAGGTAGAAGTATATTGTTTGTTCTTTGGAAATTGAAGGACTCAATTGTATTATTTGGGAAAGATGAAACATTGGTGAGGAATATTAAATTAAATGGGCATTGAACTTAATTGGGCTTTAGTTTGGACTTGCAATTGGGAATCAAATTAAAGGATTACTTGGGCTCCTGTTGAATTTGGACCTGCTAGGTTAATATATGTACTAAAGCTTGAGGAATTAAAAGGAGGCGGCCACATTATACATCGATATACCTCCCACGTAGAAGAGGACGGCAGAACACGCAAAGTGGAAAAAAAAAAAAGGTTGGCTTTTGCTGAAAATTACAAACAGATGGCATCACTGTTCGGCGGCAATTGATGAGAAAACAAGGCTGCTGAATTTGCTATAAAAAGAAAGGGCTGTCTTCCATTTGATGCATGCAAAAAGTGGCCAGCAAATGAGTTGATTATATATAGACACGCATACCGAAAAAAAGAAGAAGAAGCAGACGTGCACAAAAGTGGTGTCAGCTTTGGAAAGTGGAATTAATTTTCAATCTTTGTTCGATAACTTATCAACAATTGGGCGGGAATTAGTCATGTTTCGTCAATTTTTGCTAATGTCTTTTATCTTTTTTGTGCTTAATTTCGACAATATTATTGGTTAGATATTGCTAGGATGTGATGAACCCTTGTTATGAATTTTCTGATTTGAATAATTAAATTGACGTTAATTTGTTTAATTGTTTGGATGTTTATTATGGTTTAATTTTCTTTTCAATTATTTGGCCAATAATTGAATTGTTTGCGGATTTTAATGTCATCGAGAGAGATAATAAAGTCATTAGCACGTAGTAATAATCATTGCGAAGTTTGATAAGGATAGAGATATACATTTATACTTCATATGATTTTTATAAGATGTTCTAACTCGTTTAATACATTTATCATATTCGTATCTTTCATCGAAAGATAGGA